GTTGGGTACGCTGCTCATTTGGGTTAGAGGACGGTTACTCTGTCAAGGCATTAATCACTATTAGACGGCGCTGTCAGGTACCCACATTTTAACTAATAGGCACCAGAAACAGCACAAGTTTTTTGAGTTCAGTCTGCAAAAGGAAAAGGATTTTTTAAAATTGGCAACGTGCTCAGGAAATAGGTGAAATTTAGAAAAATTTTCTACTCATATGTATTCAAATGTGACTGAAATGTGGATATTTTCACTTTTCATCTTTAGCACTGACATGAAGTAAGGTGAAAATTTTCTCCTTGCCCTTCTCAGGATGGCCACAGACCAAAACACAGCTGGACGTGATGTTCCCAGGACAGTTACAGCAAGGGGCTGGCACATTGGGAAGAAAAGAATGCACACTTAAAAGGTGGGATTGAGCCTTCTTTCAGTACGGAAAATGGATCTCTTATTCTGTATCCACCATTCCACCCAAGCTGTGTTGAAAATCCCTGTTCTCCTGCTTGCTGAGGAGGTTTGGAACAACAGCCAAATTCATGGCAGCAAGAGTAAATTAATTTCTGCAAAAAGGACACAGAGTGAAGTGGGATTGTCACTGGCTCCAGGTGACCCACAGCATGACATAGCACAAGTGTAACATCCCTCTCTGTGTAGCAGGGAAGACCATGGCACATCCTTAGGGAAGTGGTAAAGTCCAAAATCCAAATGTCTAAATGTCTATGTTCTCCCTGACTTCTTCCAGACAAATGCCTCCTCTAAGAGATAGAGGGAGAGACCTCATGTTTCATTTCAGTCAGAAAATGGTTTATTAAACAGGCCCAATAGGAAAAAAAATAACGTCCTTGGTCTTTGTTAATGTTTAGACCTGACAGTGTTGACAGGTAAGAGGTATTGTGTTTTGGATCTGCAGCCATCAGGTCTGATGCTTGTGTGGTGGAAAGCAATTCTTTTATATGACACGTTTTCTGATTTACCTAATTAGGCTGCCAGACCATGCCAGTGAGCAAGCACTGCAGCAATGAAAATAACATGTGCAGTGGAAATTCAGGAAGAAAGAATTTTTAATAGAATGTTTGGGACAGGAAAAAGTTTATGAATTGGCACAGAAATTCCTGGTCAGGTTAGGGCTGTTTCTGCACTCAAAGATGATGTCCAGGTGCACATTCAGTGATGGCTACAGTACCCAACCAAGTTGTATTTTGAAAATCATGTTAATGGTCAGCCAATCAATCAGAGGAAGAAATGCAGCTTTAAGAGAGGAAGATGACTAGGGACTGGCCCACCTCCATAATATTTACATTTATAGCAGTTCAGGAGAGCTAGTCCAGAGCTAGTCCGGTGCTACAGGAGGCATCTCGCTCTGTCTCAAGCACCATGGTGGGTAGTCTGAACTTGATGTTTGGTCCTGGGTCTCCATCAGATTCATACTGGGTGTCTGATCAAACAGGCAGTGATGAAAGCCACGAACTGACTTGGGATTCTCATCTTCACATGAGACAAGAGAGATCCTGGGCTTTCTCTTTCAGCTGACCCTGACTGTCAGCAAACACAGACATAACTGTGCCTTCTCGTACTGAGAGAAGAAATACACCTTTTGAAAGATTAAATTCTGGCTTTTTTTATGTCAGTAGCAAAGCTCCAAATGATTACCCATGGAGTCAAAATAGCATTCAAGATTGACTTCTACAGCAAGACTGAATGGCTAGGAAAGCTATGTAAGCCCCGCAGAGATCAGATGGTAGAGAAAAGTTTCTATGGCAAACTCGAGTGCCTTTGGAGAGGAGCAGCCTTCTCAGAGATGTTGCTGTTAGTGCTCTACTAACAGTGCTGTGTGTGGTGGTCATTGCTCTAATAAGCCATTTTGATAAGAGAAACAAGAACAAACACGGTTCTGGAGAATTACGTAAAATTTAGATCATCTCCGCAGCTAGTCTGCAGAGGCACCATTCCTCAGCATGAAAGCACCAAGCAGATGATAAAGGCTGCGATAATTATCCATGTCAGGCTGCATCCAGCCACCAGCTTGGAGAACCTTTTCTCTTCTTCCTTCTCTGCTTGAGAGCAAATGAACGGCACATGTATGGCAATCACATGCGAAAGAGAAAGAGCACTGGTGTGTCCTGAAATAATTCCCTGACATCTGGCAATTTCAGGTTTGTTAGGTGTCAAAAATTGCCACTGTGTTTCTGTATCCCAGAGAGTGCAGTTCTGCTCCCTCACCCCTGAACTTGCAGAGGTTTTCAGCACACCCATCACTCAGTAATGAATTCATCCTCTGCTTCTTTGCAAGCAATCTGACTGCTGTTTAGTCTAACATGGCCAAAACTGTGGGGATGACAAATATTGGGGGATTTCTTTCTGTCAGTGCATTCATGAGGAAGTAGTTTACAGGCATTTTCTGAAAAAAAAAAAAAAAAAAAAAAAAAAAAAAAAAAAAACCATAAACACTTTTGATAAATTTGGCTCCAAGATTGGTGGACGTTGGGTGTTTTTAGCCAAAGTGTGTGTGTATTTTTCTTCCTACTTTAAGAATCTTTCTAATCCTGAAGAAATAGGAGGAATGTTTCTGGACAAGAACAGGTTCAAATACACATTCAGTAAGCAGAAATCTTTTAAAGTGGGATTAATTTTATCACAGAAGGCCAAGCCGCTTAAACGGAGTGATGCTGATACGGGACTCATTCAAGTGCAGGGTCTGTCACCCTCAGACCCCAGTGCAGGGGGTGCTGCACCTTCCCCAAACCTTCTCAGAACATGAGGGAACAAGTTAAAAGGATTAGTCTCCTCCAAAACACAGCTACAGCTCCTGCTTTCTTTCAAGACAGCCATTCTCCTCTTCTGTGTAGTAGTCTAGTGATTAAAGCATTGGCTTGGGATGGAGTGGGGGTCCCCAGACTCAGATCCCTATTTCCCTCTGTCCACAACAAAGGGAACCGTCTGTGCGTAACTGTAGGCAGAGACGCTCACCCTTTGCTACGGCAGCTCTGCATCTGGCAGAGAAAATTCAAGACTCTGGGCCACGGAAAAAAAGAGCATAGAAGAAAAAGCAGAGTTGAAGTCCTCTCCAGGTGCTCACACTCTGCTCCAAATATATCATTTAGTACAGAAAAATCTAATCCATCTTGGTTTAGGGGGAGTTTGTTTACTTATTTTTCCATTTCCAGTTCCTTCTACTGAGCAGGGTGTTTGCAACTCTGCCTCAGGTCTGTTTACACAAAGAAAATCTTATACAAAACTGTGATCTCTGTTCTGTATCCCTAGAAAATTAACTCTGAACAATGCATTTTGACAGCCATAGACCCAAGGCTGCCCCCAACCCCTTCACCACCCCCAGACGAGGCTGCCCCAGGAGCATGGGGACCAACGGGGACAGACAGCAGGAGCAAGAGCTCATGACATAGCAAAGGGTAGCACAGGCAGGAGAAAGGGGACAGTTTCCCTTCTGTGCACCCTACGTGGGCATTCCCCATCCCCTGCGAGTGTCAGAGATCAGGGGGTAAAGAGGTGGGGGGAAAACAGTATTTTCCCTTCCTGTCCTCTTCTCTATACAATCCCCTACATTTAATTAAGAGCCTGAAGAATCAAACTCCAACATTTTATATAACAAGGCCATAGCCAGAGTGCAGCACATAACATCTCCTTTACTGGTAACTGGCTCAAAGTGGCAATTTCAATGTTTTTAAGATAATGAGCTTCCTATTTGTGTTCCTGCCAACTAAACTTCCAGATAAGGAAATGCACAGTAGCTATTACACATCAGCTTCTCTCTGCATACAATAGTGCACGTTTCAGTGCCCCCCTTCCCACAGAAAAGGAGCCCTGCCTGTCAGTGGAGAAGTTAATCAATTATCTTTGGAAGTCTGGCCTAGGTACAGAGTCTTTGGATGAATGATGCTATTTAAATATCAATTGTCATGATGATGAGAATGATTAGGGTTATTCTGGCCATATTAGTAATACTAAGTAATAATACTTATAAAAGTATTGAAATCTCTGCACAGGACTCAAATGAAAGCTCTAAATATTGCTTATTAGAATAGCTGGTCAAAATGTTTTCTTCTAAGTATTTCCCCTGCGAAAAATTCTTGCTATTCTGTATGGAAAGTTCTGCCACCTACCCAGAAAAACAGCAGTAAAACAGAACTGTTTGCCACAAATTATTTAGGATTTTGGCTTCATTTTAATTATGCAAGAAAAGTTTGAAAGAAAATAAAGTTTCCGGGACCTCTCACAAAACCTGTGCACCCTTTTCACCAGCTTTATTTGCCCCCTTGTTAGCAGTCACTAGGGGAGATGGGCAAATGGGTGCCTTAGAAAAACAGCCCATAATATATGGTTTCTTCTTTTTGCTCTTTCTCCATATAATCTAGTAACATGCCAAAATATGTCATTTAGCAATATTGGGGTTCATCTGCTTCTATGGCTGCTAGCAGCAGGAAGAGCAATTCTGATAACACTTGAAAGATAACGCCAAATATTTTTTTGACGAGAGAGAGGAAGGCAGATAATTTAGTGTTTCAGTCCCTGGGAAGACAGGGCTCAGCACAACACATCAAGCCCTTCACCAGCCAAGCCTGCCCTGCAGCCCTTGGTAGGGAGTAACACCTGACAGTGTGACGGAGAGCAACATCTCTGCTAAAATATCCTGTGCACGATGCACCTCTGCCTGCGACAGCTGCAGGTCCTTCCTTTAGATTCATCTTTGAGGTGTCTTTTCTTTACTTTAAGGAAGAAACTGTGCCACGTCTGATCAGTAATGCAAACACTTTGCAGAGCTGTGCTGCAAAGCAGCTGAGAACCTCTATTGATATGAATCTCATTCCTTTCATGTTTTTCTACACCGATGACGATTCAGAGAACTCTCTCCAAAATCAGCTACTGAGAGAGATTTATTGCTCTACAGTTCCCAGCAGGTCCATATTTGCCCTTTGGCTACTGCTAACAAGCAACAACACTGAAGAAACTCAAAGCAACTATAACTATTCTCTAAGCTCGTGTGTTCATACCTGTCCAGAGAGATACAGCACAGGTGCAGGATTGACGCTGTGGTGAGCAGGACATCGAGGGACGTTCGGACCAGGCAGAACATCTCTCCATAAATCCAGTTGTCCTGAACTAACTCAATGGCCCCAAATGGCATCACCAGCACAGACACCAGCAGGTCCGCAAAGGCAAGGGAAACAATGAAATAATTGGTCTTGATTTTCCTGCAAGACAGATCACAAAATTAGGGCAGAACAGTATCAGTGCAGCATCCTCTATATGAAGACAGAGATTTCAGCTTGTGTTTGGATCTAATTTGCTCCATCACACTAAAAGGTCCTCTCTAACGTACTCCTCACTTTACATGGTCACCCTTAGCTTGCTCCTGGTCTTTACAGCTAAATATCCACTGTGATCCCTGCATAAAAGCATCTTTCTTCTCACACAGAAGAGGCAAATAGATGCTCACCGGCCTCTGCATGTGGGTCAACCTCACATCCTGCATTGGAGAGTTTGGGGTGGAGGAGGGGGATTTTATTTTAACTTGTAAATTGAGAATATCCTTCCAGAAAGCACTGAGAAGAATCTAGACTGAAGCTGTAATTTTAACTTGAAGAGTACTTTTTAAATCATAACAATAAAATAGAATGAAATCCATTAAAAATCCCACGCAGAATATGAATAGAGGCTGTTGTATATCTCACTCTGCTCCTGAGGCTGGTCTGACAACTCCCAGGGATAGCAGCAAGCCACAAGACAGGAGTTTTGCCTGTGAACCCCAAAATCACTGGCTGCATTTGCCAAGCTGCAGCAGTGCAGCACAACTGCAACAGGACCTTGATCTGCGTGGTTTTCTGATAGGCTTGTTAGGAAATTTGAGATGGAAAAGGGGTAGAGGCCAACCTGCTTCTCCAAGAAACTGCTGCTTAGTTCTATTTTTCACGGATTTATCTGTTCTTTTACACTGCGAGTGATAAAAACGTAGAGGAAGGATACTAAAATGATCCCACCGCCATGGTATAAATCCGAGTGGGGATGCACTGCGGCCAGTGTGAGAGTCTGACATCACTGTGGTGCAACGCACAGAGACACACTTCATTGCAGCAGTTCATGCCTCCGCTGTGGGCATGGGGCTTTTTAGGCAGGAATTTTCCCGTGTGCGTGCCCAGGGAAGGGCAGGCGGTGGCTGGCTGGGTGGGCTCACCTGAGCTGCCTGTCCCGGCACACGGCCACCATCACCAGCAGGTTCCCCAGGATGGCCATCAGTATAACGGCGGAGATGAAGGTGAGCAGCACAATCTTCTCCGCTACGCCGAAGCCCTCACTCGAACTGGGGAGCACACAGGAAAAAAAGAGAAAATACAAGAAGCTGCAGCGGCACTGGGAAGGGATCGCCTGGGCAGCACTGATGTGCCAGTCATGGGCACCCGTTTCGGCGAGTGTGAGAGCAGCATCCCCACGCCTTCCACAGCTGCTCCCCACCAAGACCATTAACAAAGAACATTTCATATTTATGGGGAAAGTTGTGAGGCCTGTGTTCACCAGCAGAAAGGCTACAGGCAGAGGATAACCGCAACACCTGTGGCTGCCCAGGTTGCCCAGTGGTGGGTAAGCCAACACATACAGTGGAGGAGCCCACTTCCGAGAGCTGGAGTGAACTTTGTCTGATTTCTGAAAGTCCCTTCCAATTCAGAGCCTCTGGGTGAAAATGCTTTCATTCTCTTTTCACCCCAATAAATAATGCTATTTTCTATGCAGAAGTATTTTAGTTTTATTTCCTTTAGTTTTTCCATTTTTTTCCCAAGGTTTTCCTCAAGGTGAGAATTTTACATCTTGAATTTTGAAATATTTTACATGACTTTTTTCCTTGTTCTGTCCTCCCTTCATTCTGTCCTATAGAACAAGAGGCAGTCTGGTATGGTTGGGTTTTTTTTTCTTTTCACTTGGTAATTTTTCCACAATCGGGGAAAATAATTTTTTTTGCAAAGAAAGTGCCTAATTTCCCTCGAACCTGACATCAATAATTTCTTTCAGTTAATGAAGAGAAAGAAAATAAAAAGGACAGATAACACAAAACCACAATGTCGAACATACTTTACATATGCATGTCTACAAATGTTAAATGTTTCAAAAACAGCTGTTGGGGTTTTTTTTTGAGCCTGCATGGCAGGAAGGTAATATACAGCAGGCAATAAATAGTGTTAAGTTCCTCATAAAATTAGTTTTATTACAAAATTTTTGCTGGGATTCTAGAGGGCTTTCTGCGAGAGAATGGACATGTGAGCAATCCTGCGTGAGAACAAGACTGGTAAGAGCCTCAGCCTGAGCAAGAATGCAATAAGGATGTGACCTTGAATGAGGGGGGAGAAACTCGATGAGACAAACAACCCCCGGCAGGGGCTGGGACGGAGGAGGAAGTTCCCCAAGGCAGGTGCCTGGCACGGCTGATGTGGCACTTTTTATCCAATCATAAGAAGGTTTAAAGCGCGGGCTAAGTTAACTGTCCAGTCTTGAGGACTTGTACTGCATGTTACTCACGTGTGCGGGAGAACATTATAAAAGGGCTTTCTTAGTTGTAATAAACGGGCATTGCCTGATCACATTGGTCGTGTGCGTGCTCAGCTCTCCCACAAATTTTGACACAGATTTTCCTTTAAAGATATTTCCAATTATGTATCTAGGACAAAATGAATCCTAAACCTTTGTGTGCTTGTGTAATTTTCCCTATTACATTACATGGGTGAGAATGGGTGTTCGTTCATGTTATCAACAAGTGCAGCTAGAAATAAACTGGCATTAAGAGCAGCACTTGACACTAATTCAGCAGGGAAATTTCTTCAGAGCGTATGAAGCTGGTATTCGGCACCCAAGATTAATGTTGTGAGATTGTTCAGGTAATTGAAAAATTGAACTGTTATTCTGTTTAACTTTCTCTGGGGTCATTTTTTATTTACTAAATACATTCCAGACTTTTACACTTTATCTCAGTGAATTTTCCTGATTTTGGCAAAGCTAAAGAAGATCAGAGACTGCTGAGGTCCTGCCTCCACTACCTGTGCCATTTTAATAAGCTTCTAGCAACTGACTTCACCCTTACCCTGCATTGCAGAACATCCACTTAATGACAATCTCAATTTTTGTCCCTAAAAGTGATGCTGATTTGAGTACAACATTTTTGCCCACTTCCAGATGCACCAGTGGGTCAAATGGCAGCCTGCTGAAGTTGGATTTTCATATTGAGTATGAACAATATCTTAGGAATTCCTTGACTTTCAATGAATGTTTACGAGCACATAAAGAAGAGGAAAGGAGATGCCCTGGCTTCACACTAGTTTCATAGAAAAACACAGCACTAGGCAGATATATGCAGGCTCAAACCCAAGCTGAAATATATGGCTATAAAAAAGAGGTCCAGGACAACTGAATATCCTACCTTCCTAAATGTATGGCCATATGCCAAGTAGTGCTTCCTCACCTGTGAGAGCACAGGTAGCTTTTCAAAGATAATCTCCTGTGTTAAAACTAAGAGATCAATAAATGTCACATAGAGTGGACATGTAGGTGTATCCCACCTCTCTACAAGGTTGACAGGCAAAAAGTCCCTGAGCACTGCCAGGCACGTGTCCTTCTGGAGGTGGGTTGCTGGGGTACTGGTGTATCAGGAGAGGGGACATGGGTGGCTCAGGGTGAAGGGTTTTGTCATGTGTTGAAATGAACGACCCCAGTCCACAGACAAAGACAAAGGCATGACTGATTCTTTTGCCCTGTCGGTTTTCAGTGCTAATGTCAGTAAATCCACTCCTGCTTAATATAGGAAGATCTCGGGGGTTATGTTGAAGGGGTCAGACATAGCCATAGGTTTGCATCCAGCAGGACACTTATTTCTGTGCAAGCCAATTATAGATGATAAGACAGGAGAAAGGCAAAGTCAAGATGCATTTTTATTTAGCATCTGAAAGAGTTTGCACTTAATTAGTAAGAGTTGTCTACTGAACTTAACACGACTTCAGTGAGGGCAATTAAGCCTGCAAGAAGTTGAACAAATCCTGCAGTGCATTCGGAAATGTTGACAAGGCTCTGTCTGTACTAAATTGGCTTTCCCAGTTTTTATTGGAGACCATTGCTTCCTGACACCTTGGGTCATTAGTTCTTGGACAACTCTTGCAACAAGTGGATTTTGTGTCTGCAGTTCTGGAAATTAGACTGCAATTGCTGCCTGTAAATTGCCTACACTGGTCCAGTCATACTTCCTCCCACCTGACAGTATAAAATCCCTATCGATCAAAATGATCTGCCTCATCCCTCATTCTGACAGTGGCCTGTAGGAGACAAAATGCCTACATGCATATAGCAGTCCCTCCCTTGCAAGTTATCTCATGCTGCAAAGGTCTGCGCCACAGTGGGCTTGTGTTTTAACAGCTCTTCATGGATTCCTTTGCCTTCCCCTCTCTGGTCTGTCCTTTGAATTCTCAGTACATGGTGAACACCATCTCTGGGCAGCTTTCCTCCTTGATCTCACAGTGACATGCTAAATACAAAATCAAGCAAATAGCATCAGTTTCTGTGCTTCTCAATTACCAGTGACCACCTCAAATTACATACAGAGATTCTTTTCTCAAAACTAAAGGTAATTGGCATCTAATGCCTTATCCTAAATCTAAAATCCCAAGCCTACAGAACCAGTCACTGGTCACACAGCTGCTCCTAAAATAGGATGTCACTCCTTCCCCCCGATGGAACTCACTCTTCCTGTCTCCCATCCATCTCCACATACATCTGATCTGAAAGACCTCCTCTTCCCCAGAAGCAAAGCCCTGCGTTGGAGATTTTGGGAGGCAGGAACCTAGGAGCTGCCAACATATGAACGTGAACTGCAGCAAAGTCCTTTGGAAAAGGATGAGCAGCTGGGAGCGGGTCCTTCCCCGTGGGCACCATGCACAGCGGGATGCACAAAGCGATTCTCCTCTTGGAGCCACAGAGACCTCTTGGGCCCACCATGTGTCCTGCTGCAGATGGATGCTGCACAGCTGGGGAAGGTCAGACACTTGCCAAGCATCAGTATCTTGAGCACACCCAAATGCCAGAGCCTTCATTAAGAACGTTCATCTGCAGAAGACACCACCATGAAAATGAAAGGGAAATGGAAAAGGAACAACTTCAAAGGCAGGGCTCAGCCACAGGCCTTCTAGCTGGGTACCAGCTGGGATGAAAATCCTCAGGAACAATGGGGATGCTGAGATCAAAGGCACCTTCACTGCAGAGCTGTAATTGTACCTGTTTAAATAAGCCTTCACAATAGGCTAACATTACTCGGTGGCTGCATCTGTGAAACAAAATGTCAAACCACACTAAACAGTGCCATACAAAACATGTTCCTTTTCCTCCTGAGCGAGCATGGCAGCACATATGCACTGGCACAGCAGTAAAGAGGATGATGATGGTTTAGTTTATACAGAGCCAGGCTGAGTTAGATTTATATTTTGTCTTATCTAACTTTGCCTAACCTTCTGGTGTTTCTAAACAATTCTCATCACCGCGTTATCTGAGCACCTTGCATCTGCACTCTGCAGTGTGTACAGAGGAGGAGAAAGACCTCCCTCGTCCCTGAGCCCTGCTGGGGAGGTGAGCTGGCCATCAGCCGTGCACCGGCTTCTTGGTCCACCATGCAGTGTTCCTTGTGAGGGAGGCTCTTTTTCAGGGAAAGCCCCGGGGGTTTGAGGCTGATTGCTGAGAGATTCCTGTCCCCTCCCCACAGCAGGGATGCTGGCTCTCAGGCCACCCAGGGAAAGGGACTCGGTGTCAGGATGCTCTGGGGCATCATCCCACAGAAGGAGGTAGAGAGGAGTGAAGCATTTTGATTTGACCTGTACCTTGAATGAGCTGCTTTGGTCCTACAGGCAAGGGGTTAAACATTTCACAGTAAACAATAAAACATGTAGTAAATTAATGGGTGAACTGAACTGCCCGCTCACCTCCTACTGGAAAGCAGCTGTGCCTATAGAGGAAACCCTGACAAACATCAAGGCTACCACCTGCTATTGCCACCGAAAGGATGGCCCTGTCACCAGGCACCAGGGCAGGCTCTTCACATCGTGTCTGCTCCTCGGGAGCACCGCATCCCTTGTGTCAAGGCGTACCCTCCGCTGCTGCCTCCCTGGCCATCCAGCATCCACGTGCCGTGCAGCCAGGTGAGCAGGGGCAAGTTGGGTGCCCCGATGTGTTGCTGGCTTCTCAGCACACACTGCTCCCCTCACGATGGGCGCTGTGGCTCTGCGGGACTCAGGGAAGGAGGGAGCTTGAGGGATGCCCGAGAAGAGAGCTCTGGAGGTA